AAATGAAGTTTGAAGGTCACCAAGTTAGGAAGTTTGGGAAGCTAGATTTACTCATTTCCAACTCCACTGTACTGTGGTAGTATGCCAGGTACTATGTCAGATGCATGTTACCAGGTAGCAGTGAAGATGAAAACAGAAGAGCTTAATTTATATTCTTGTCCTAATTTGAGAGCTAACCTTCTTCTACTTTGAAATATTTTTGCTTTCATAATGACTGCTAAACATTATTTGAGCCTTCTCAGAATCCCCAGGCACAGTGAACTCTTTCTTCCTTTGTATTTTGGAAAATTATATAGACTATTAGAGATTCATCATGATTTTGTTTATTTAAAAATATTTTTGTCTTCATAATAACTGCCAAACATTATTTGAAGCCTTCTTAGAACCCCTAGGCACAGAGAACACCTTCTTCCTTTGTATGTCAGTAACAACTGTATACACTATTAGAGCTTCATCATGATTTTTGTTTACATGGTTAAAAGCTATTGAGATAAAAATCTGCAGACAAGGCCACAAATAACTGGCTTCTGCTTGCTTTTCATTTAGTTTTCTCTTCTCTTTTTCAGTGTCTTAAAGTAGAAGTTATTGAGCTGAGATCTTTCTTTTTTTTTAATATAGGTGTTTACAGCTATAAATTTTCCTCTAAGCCCTGCTTTAGCTGCATTCTTTAAGTTCTGGTATGTTGTATCTTCATTTTCAGTCATTTCAAAGTTTTTCTAACTTTTTTCATGATTTCTTCTTTGACCCATTGATTATTTAGGAGTATATTGTTTAATTTTTACATATTTGTCAACTTCCCAAATTTCTTTCTGTTGCTGATGTATGTCTAATTTCACTGTAATCAAATAACATACTTGGTATGAGTTCAATTTTTATAATTTATTGAGACTGGTTCAAAGACCCAGCATATGGTCTACCTTGGTAAATGTTCCATGTGCATTTTAAAAGAACGTATATTTTGTTGTTGTTTGAGAGAAGGCTTTTATAAATGTCAGTTAGGTCAAGTAGGTTGATGATGCTTTTCATGTTTTCTATATCCTTACTATTTTCTATTTGTTCTATCAACTAATGAGGGGTGATGAAATACCCAATTATAATTGTGGGTTTGTCTACTTTTCCCTTCAGTTTTGACAGTTGCTACTTCATTTATTTTGAAGCTCTGGGTGCACATATTTGGGATTATTATGTCTTCTTGATGAATTGATCACTAAAGATCATTAGGTAATGTTTGTCTTTATCTTTTGCAGTAACCTTTATTCTGAAGTCTACTTTACCTATATTAAAACACCCACTTTATCTTTCTTATGTTTAGTGTCTACATGACACTAAATAGTGTCTATTTCAAGTAAGTTTCATGTAGATAGCATACAGTCAGATTTTAGTTTTTTAATGACAATATCTTTTAGTTGCAGCACTGATATCATTTATATTTAATATAATTATCAGTAAGATTTGGTTTAAGTCTATTATCTTGCTATTGTTTCCTGTCTGTCTCCTCTTTCTCTGTTTGCTTCTTCCTGTTTTTTAGATCACTTGGGCATTTTTAAAGATTTTATCCCCATATTGGCTACTTGCTATACTTTATATTTTTTAGTGGGGGCTTGTCAAACTATTGCCTATGGGTGAAATCAAGCTGACCATTTGTTTTGTAAATGATTTTTTCTTGAAACACAGCCACCAACCATTTGTTTATGTAATGTCTATGGCTAATTTCATGTTACAACAGTAGAGTTGAGTAGCTGTAACACAGACCACATGGCCCATAACACCCAAAATACTTAGTCTCTGAGTCTTAACAGAAAAAGTTTCCTGACCATTGCTATGGTTTAAATTGAAAAATTAAGCTCCAGTAGCAAAAGCCAGTTCTTCAGATAATTACTCACATTGTTTTCTTGGTTCTTATTGTTCTTCAAGAGTGTGATAATACAATTATGAATAAAAAAAGCAAGGGTCAGCACTCCAGTCAGCTGTGGGAACTGAAATCTTATCTCTAGGAGAAAAAGAGAGGGAGGAAACCCACATTAACATTGACAACTAGAAAATGAATATTTAGTAGCCCAAAGTTTACATATACACAGTGGAATATTAATCAGCTATAAAAAAGAAAGAAATTCTGCCACTTGCAACAACATGGATGGACCCAGGGGGTACTATGCTAAGTGAAATAAGCCAGGTGGAGAAGGACAGATACCAAATGATTTCACTTACTTGTGGAGTATTAAAACAAAACAAAATGAACAAAATAACAGTTGACTTATATACACTGAGAAGTGACTGGTGGAGAAGGGGTTGGAATGGGTAGGTAGGTAAGGGGAGGGGGATAAAAATTCTCATTCATAATATAAGTTATTCACAGGGATGGTAGTACAGCACAGAGATCATAACCAATGATTCTGTAACATCTTTCTATGTTGACAGTAGTTACACTAGTTGGGGTGAGGATTTAATAATGTGGGTAACTGGTGAACCATTGTGTTGTACAGCTGAAATCAATATAAGATTGTATATCAACTATACTTCAATTAAAAAAGAAAAGAAAAGTATACAACCTGAAAAAAAAAAAGAATGGCTATATGGCCCTTATTGTCAAATAGTAAGTTCATTAAGAGAAATTTTTTCTCAACTTGAACATTGAAAAATTTCTCTCCACAGTCATTGTATAAACGATGGTGAGCAACTGACAAAGAACATCCCAATTATAGCTCTTCTAAAACAATGAAGCAGTGGTCTAATCCATGGTTTTCTTGTTATGAATCCTTGGTGAAAAGCCAATTTTAACATTAAAACCTAGTGCAGTGATGAGAGAAAAGAGAAAGGAAGAATTGATGTGGTTCAGTTATGTATTTGTCTGGGTATCTAACTTATTAACATCATAGGGAGAAATTTTGGAGATGAGTTAATATGTTCTCATTACAAAACAAGTTTAAAGGCACCATAAACAATTTGAATAGGAATATATTCTCTCTGTTGACAGAAATATCCACAGTCTGTAAATGTTGAGAGAAAGGGTAAGAATAGTAGAGAAACTAAAAATTGTAGTTCCTACTGTATGCCAGAGAATGTTAAATATGTTCCCATTTTATAGGTATTAAATAGTGCTATTTTTACACATGAAGAAAATGAAGTTTGAAGGTCACCAAGTTAGGAAGTTTGGGAAGCTAGATTTACTCATTTCCAACTCCACTGTACTGTGGTAGTATGCCAGGTACTATGTCAGATGCATGTTACCAGGTAGCAGTGAAGATGAAAACAGAAGAGCTTAATTTATATTCTTGTCCTAATTTGAGAGCTAACCTTCTTCTACTTTGAAATATTTTTGCTTTCATAATGACTGCTAAACATTATTTGAGCCTTCTCAGAATCCCCAGGCACAGTGAACTCTTTCTTCCTTTGTATTTTGGAAAATTATATAGACTATTAGAGATTCATCATGATTTTGTTTATTTAAAAATATTTTTGTCTTCATAATAACTGCCAAACATTATTTGAAGCCTTCTTAGAACCCCTAGGCACAGAGAACACCTTCTTCCTTTGTATGTCAGTAACAACTGTATACACTATTAGAGCTTCATCATGATTTTTGTTTACATGGTTAAAAGCTATTGAGATAAAAATCTGCAGACAAGGCCACAAATAACTGGCTTCTGCTTGCTTTTCATTTAGTTTTCTCTTCTCTTTTTCAGTGTCTTAAAGTAGAAGTTATTGAGCTGAGATCTTTCTTTTTTTTTAATATAGGTGTTTACAGCTATAAATTTTCCTCTAAGCCCTGCTTTAGCTGCATTCTTTAAGTTCTGGTATGTTGTATCTTCATTTTCAGTCATTTCAAAGTTTTTCTAACTTTTTTCATGATTTCTTCTTTGACCCATTGATTATTTAGGAGTATATTGTTTAATTTTTACATATTTGTCAACTTCCCAAATTTCTTTCTGTTGCTGATGTATGTCTAATTTCACTGTAATCAAATAACATACTTGGTATGAGTTCAATTTTTATAATTTATTGAGACTGGTTCAAAGACCCAGCATATGGTCTACCTTGGTAAATGTTCCATGTGCATTTTAAAAGAACGTATATTTTGTTGTTGTTTGAGAGAAGGCTTTTATAAATGTCAGTTAGGTCAAGTAGGTTGATGATGCTTTTCATGTTTTCTATATCCTTACTATTTTCTATTTGTTCTATCAACTAATGAGGGGTGATGAAATACCCAATTATAATTGTGGGTTTGTCTACTTTTCCCTTCAGTTTTGACAGTTGCTACTTCATTTATTTTGAAGCTCTGGGTGCACATATTTGGGATTATTATGTCTTCTTGATGAATTGATCACTAAAGATCATTAGGTAATGTTTGTCTTTATCTTTTGCAGTAACCTTTATTCTGAAGTCTACTTTACCTATATTAAAACACCCACTTTATCTTTCTTATGTTTAGTGTCTACATGACACTAAATAGTGTCTATTTCAAGTAAGTTTCACGTAGATAGCATACAGTCAGATTTTAGTTTTTTAATGACAATATCTTTTAGTTGCAGCACTGATATCATTTATATTTAATATAATTATCAGTAAGATTTGGTTTAAGTCTATTATCTTGCTATTGTTTCCTGTCTGTCTCCTCTTTCTCTGTTTGCTTCTTCCTGTTTTTTAGATCACTTGGGCATTTTTAAAGATTTTATCCCCATATTGGCTACTTGCTATACTTTATATTTTTTAGTGGGGGCTTGTCAAACTATTGCCTATGGGTGAAATCAAGCTGACCATTTGTTTTGTAAATGATTTTTTCTTGAAACACAGCCACCAACCATTTGTTTATGTAATGTCTATGGCTAATTTCATGTTACAACAGTAGAGTTGGGTAGCTGTAACACAGACCACATGGCCCATAACACCCAAAATACTTAGTCTCTGAGTCTTAACAGAAAAAGTTTCCTGACCATTGCTATGGTTTAAATTGAAAAATTAAGCTCCAGTAGCAAAAGCCAGTTCTTCAGATAATTACTCACATTGTTTTCTTGGTTCTTATTGTTCTTCAAGAGTGTGATAATACAATTATGAATAAAAAAAGCAAGGGTCAGCACTCCAGTCAGCTGTGGGAACTGAAATCTTATCTCTAGGAGAAAAAGAGAGGGAGGAAACCCACATTAACATTGACAACTAGAAAATGAATATTTAGTAGCCCAAAGTTGATTAATAAAAATCAGTTGTTTCTGTTTTGTCTAGGAATAAGAATATTAAAATATCTTTACAAAGTTTCCCAAGGCTATCATTAGGCTTCAGCAAAGTAACTGAAAAGGAATTTTAAAATGACTACTCTGTGAGGGTACTTTATGTCAGTTATTCCTGTTTGAGGTCACACAACTAGTATGTGACAGAGCAAGATTCAAATTCAGGGTCTGTCTGACTCTAAAGTTCTTCCTCTTCTAACACTTGAATTTGCCAGAGAAGTACCTTTAGAAAAGGAATCAGGGAAGGGAGAACTGGTCATTTAAAATTATTGAATGGTAAATCTAAAATCATTGCTTAAAAATACTGGAAAAAAATGTCTATGTAGATGAGAATGGTTAAACTATGACACAGCTATTTACTGGTACACACTATATAAGAATAGTGTTTAGAGCAAGAGTTTATGCTATGCCAAGTGTTTATGATCCAAATAGTATGTACAGTAAGACTTTTATTTTCCAATGTGTGTGTGTGTGTATGGGATTTATTTAAAGTAACCACCTACCTTACCACTTATAGTCTAAGTTTTCTACAATAAATATAAAGTTACTTTGATTATAAGAATAATAAAATAACATATGATTTAAAAGCACTGCCAGTTTCTGCCTTTGAGGTCTGCCAATACAAAAATGAAAAAAATTGCTATTATGGAGAATAAGGTGATGATTTACTTGTGCTGAATCCAGGCAAAGTAGGTGGCAAAGTGGAGAAAACCCATCTCAGGGGATTCCTTAGTGTAAAAATAGGAATGAGAAAAGAAAGTCCACTGACTTTTTGCCATAATATTCTATGAAAAGAAGTGAGGACTAAGAATCAAGTATTAGCTTTAAAAGATATCAGGAAGTAAGAAAACAAAAGTTATATGCTTTTTTTTTCTATTAAGTTTTTTGTTTGTTAGCTTTCATCTGAATTTTTATCTGTGGAAGCAATTTATTCTTTGGAAGTGTATTTTTCTTAGGAAAATGCCCCTCTTTTCTACATATAATCATTAAAAATTTTCACATTTCAGCAATAAAATGTGGGGGCAGGTCTCAGTTCTGTTAAAAAAAAACCCTCTCAATAAATTGTGAAAAGAAGGACACTTTAACAAGAAAAAGGCTGATCACCACAGATAACAGTCAGCATTATACTCATATGATTGTAATGAGGCACCATTTTTTGGAAAGATGACAAAACTATTATTTACATATGACCTTATTATTTGCAGATATTCTTTGCAGAGAAACAACTGACTCTTTACTAAGAATTCAGTCATCAAATTACAAAGAAGAGAGCAAGAGAGGCAGAAAAAACAAAAGAATTACAAAATAACCAAAAGGCAATTATCAAAATGGCAACAGTAAGTCCATATTTATCAACAATTTCTTAAAATGTAAATGGACTAAATTCTTCAATTAAAAGACAGAGTGGCTGAATGGATTCAAAACACCAGACCTGGATAGATGCTACCTAGAAGAAAATCATTTGAGCTTAAGGACACACAAAGACTGAAAATGAAGGGATGAAAAAAGATATTCCATGAAAATGGAAAGAAAAAGAAAGCAGGGCCATACTTATATCAGACAAAATAGACTTTAAGCCAAAGACTGTAACAAGTGACTGTAACAAACAGTCAAAGCAATTGAGAAAGAAGAACAAAGTTGGAGGCATTGTGCATCCCAATTTCAAACTATACTACAAAACTATAATACCCAAAACAGTATGGTTCTGGAAAAAAAACAAGACACATTGATCAATGCAGCTTAATAAGAGTCCAGAAAAAACCCAAAAATATATAGTCAGTTAATTTATAACAGAGTAGCCAAGCATATACAATAGAGAAAGGATGGTCTCTTCAAATGGAAATGGCAAAAGTGGATAGCAAAGAGTGAAACTGGTCTCCTTTCTTATGCCATATACAAAAATCAACTCAAAATGGATTAAATACTTGAATGTAAGATCTGAAACCATAAAGGTCCTATAAGAAAACAGGGTTAAGTTCCTTGACATTGGTCTTGGCAGTGATTTTTTTAAATTTGACAACAAAAGCAAAAATAAACAAGTGGAACTATATCAAACTAAAAGGTTTTTGCACAAGGAAAACATTAATGCAATGAAAATGCAACCTACAGAATGGGAGAAAATATTTGCAAATCATTTATCTGATAAGGGGTTAATACCCAAAATATGTAAATCAACTCATACAACTCAAATAAACACCCAAATAAACAATGGGTGGAGGAACTAGATAGACATTTTTCCAAAGAAGACATACAAATGATCAACAGGTACCTGTAAAGTTGCTCAACATCACTAATCATCAGGGGAATGCAAATTAAAACCACAATGAAATATCACCTTGCACTGGTTAGAATGACTATCATCAAAAAGACAAGAGATAACAAGTGTTGGCCAGTACCAGAAGAAAAGGGAACCCTTGTCACTGTTGGTGGGAACAGAAATTGGCACGACTAAGGCAAACAGTATGGAGGCTGCTCAAAAATTTAAAATAGAACTACCATATGATCCAGCAATCCTACTTCTAGGTTGATATCCAAAGGAAATGAAAGCAGATCTCAAAGAGATACATACATTCCTATGTTTATTGCAGCATTATTCACAATAGCCAAGATATAGAATAACTTAAGTGTCTGTCAATGGATGAACAGACTAAGATATACACAACCACATAATGGAATATTATTCAGCCAAGAGAATAAAGAAAATCCTGTCATTTGTAACTATCTGGATAGACCTTGAGGGAATTATGCTAAGTGAAGTAAGTCAGACGGAAAAAGACAAATAGTATATGATATCATTTATATGTGGAATCTAAAAAAGCTGAATTAATAAAAACAGAGACCAGAATGCTGAGTACCAGAGGCTGGGAAGGTGGAGGAAATGCGGAGATGTTGATCAAAGAGTACAAACTTCCAGTTATAAGATGAGCAAGTTCTGGGGATCTAATGTGCAGCATGGTGATTATAATTAATAATAATACTGTATTATGCACTTGAAAGTTGCTAAGAGAGTGAATCCTAAATGTTGTCTCCAAACACACACACAAAAAATGGCAATTACATGATGGAGGTGTTAGCTCATGCTATGGTGGTAACTGTTTTGCAATATATAAGTGTATCGAGCCAACACGTTGCATACCTTAAACTTACACAATGTTATATGTCAAGTGTATCTCAATAAAGCTGGAGGGAGGTAAGAGTTCAAAGTAGGTAGCTATAAAGAAAAAATATTTATAAAAAATCAACATCTTTCTTATATGCCTGCAATAACGATTGGAAAATATAAAGACAAAGGATCCTATTCACAGTAACAAAATGGACATACATATTATTACATATTGTTAAAGTTATTTCTAGGCCAGAACTAGGAATAACTTTAATATTAACACACCAAATTTATATTAAAACATTATAAAACTTTACTGTGGCAGCAACAGAAGTGTACTACTCAGATCGCCTTTCATGTGAGAACCAGACACAGGGCATGCAGGTATCTGACAGCCTCCAGCTGCAGCCCCTTTGGGATCTGCTGACCTGTTTCAGCAAAAGTCACACTCTCCCTGGGCAGCTCCTGGCCAATGACTGACCACAGAAGGATATGAGGGTGTGATCACTTTTGCCCAGTCCTGGAGTCCTCTGCAGGCAATCTTTGTCAGAGCCTCACACTGGGTTGGCTAAGACTTTCTTATTCTATTCCTATGTAATCATCCTCCTTTATTTTCTTTTGCAGGTGTGAGACATGTGGTGGTCTGATGTAGCCACCTACTCCTGCTCACTCTCCTCCCTTTCGTAAGTGCTCCACCAATAAATTTCTTGCATTTCTAACTTCATTTTGGTGGCTGCTTCCTGGAGAACTGAAACTGACACAGTTGGTACTAAACATGGTCTAAGGAAGCAGGCAGTGAGTTGGGATCTGGGCCCTGGATCACTCATCATTTGAATGATATTTTCAACAGTGCTTTAGCAATATCCCAAGGTTCTTATAGTGCTTTTATTAAAATTGCTTTTCTATATATTCTGTTAATTAATAGAGTGAATAAATGAAGCTATAGCACCTCTGATGTCAATTTATTTTTTTATTTTTGTATTTGACTGTAGCAGCTCCATTATGAATCCTATTTTTAGACAGGGAATTATAGGACTACTCTTTCTCTATCCTACTGAATTTCATAGAACCCTATCTTCTAGTTCAGCCAACCCCAAATAAGGTGGAAAGAAAGTCTCATACCCAGCCAGAGAGTTATTTTTAGTTTAAAATAGAAGACTCTTCATGATCTGGCCTTTGCCTCTCTATTCTTATCTCCTATCACCTTCCCAACAAGTATTCTTTCACTCCAGCCATCTGAATTCTTGTAATTTCCTAAATGGGTCATGTTATCTCAACCCTTAACTGTTGCTAAAACATGCTGTTCCCTCTACCTGGCATACAACCCTTTGAATTCTTCATTGAAAGAACTCCTTTTGGCCCATCAAACATTCACTATTTGGAACCCTTCTGTGATTCCTAATTCTTATTTACATTCCTCCGTACTACTAGGTCCTTATGTATATCTTTGTACCATGATCATTAATTCACAAATTGAATTATAGTCTTAGTGCTCAACAACATGCTCCTGGAACAGCAGTGAGCCATGCCTTTTTTGACAATGTATGCATGGTACATAATCAGAGGCATACACTTATTTTCAAAATAAAGGACTCTCACCCATGGAAGTGGTCAAAATTCTACTTTAAATTGTACTTTAGAATGACTTTGCTTTTTGCAAAATTGTTTTTAGATTTCAGTAAGATCACTTCAATTTAGCTGATTTTCTGATCTCTCAAAGCAATCAATCTCTATTACCCCTAAGATGCCTTGTGAAGCAACTGTTAGTTGACCCTTTTCCAA